CATGTAAATTTTGAATTAGATAGATACCAACCCATTCAGTTAGGTCTGCGATGTAAATAGGACGATGCATTAGGTACACCGACACCGACAGTGTATCTTCAACATGATCCTATTCTGACAATGTCGAGTTAATGTGTTATTTGACTTTAGTATGTAGCAAGTATTATCCGAATGGTTAAATTTCTACGTAGAAAAATGTAATGGGCGTGTATATAAGTTGATTGAAAAGTGTTAAATTGTCATTGATAGCTTTTTCTAATTACATAATTATAAAATATTTTCTTGTGACCAAAAATGACAGTAAACATGACCCCTGAGCTGATCTGATACATATACTAAAATGTAATCCTACGTAAATATAGTATGTATAGATAGATATACAAAATAACACTGGTTTTTATAAGGTTTTAGATTCTTTACACAATATTTACCAAATAGTATCTAACTTGCATAATTTTCTAAAATGTTACCTAAGTTTGTACCAAAGATGATATAAATAGTGATAGAATCTACCTATCTAATAAGATAGTAGATGTTTGTAATTGTAAGGTTTGTCAACGTGAATTATCCACCGTGATCAGTGATCATTTATTAGTGTAGACAAAGTGTCGAGCGATTCTCGCGGGGGCGCTCCGAGCGTAGGAACGCTGGATGCAAGACGAACTGTTATCGAACTGTGTATTGCTAGTAATTTGTCGATAAGAATTTATATTAGTCATTCCTAGACACAAATGAACATTCAACTTGTACCGCTGGACAAACTTTAACAATTATACAAATATGAACAGAACTTTTAGTTGTAGAACTGAAACGTTTCCTAAATCTTTATAATACCATTTTTATTTTATATGTAGTAATTATCTAGTATATAAGTAAATATATTACAGTAACGTACTAAAAGCCGAAGCAGGCTAATTGTCGATAGTTCTCAGCGAAATCCTGATAAACCAGTGTAATTATTGTAGCTGTCGGTATGTCTGGATGCGTGATATTGCGTGTGTCGATGTCTGGGCCAATCTTCGTAGTGAGTGTGAGCTATTATCCAATGACAACTGCGAAGTTCCCCACACTCACAACCAAGATTGATTCAAGTCAATTTAAGTTAAATAAATTAGTTGACAATTAAAATAGTAACAAACATACTAAAAGCCTGTCAGCCAAAGTACATAGTTTATAGTAATTTCGATCCTTTCGAACGAAAGTGTACCTAAGATAACTTATGTAATTAACTACTATAACTTGCTAAGAATTAGATATTTTGTTAGTGTAATTTAAAATGTCGATTAACAATTACTAATAAAAGATATAAGGTGCTAACCATTTTCATTTATTTATTTTATGCCCCGTTTTTATTTAGTAATGAGACACATGAGGCTCCGTATAGGGGGAGGGGTTCCATAAAAAATCACGAAATATCACGACGTGGGTGAGGGGTGAATACCACGGGTATTCATTGTTCGTTAAACGCAGAATTTTTAAACCTTAAAATGCGGTGTAGTATAATACTACAAGTGGAATAAACCTATAGGTTATAAACTTATAAAAAAACAGCAACAACATGGCAACGTTGCCAGTATTCTAGGTACTTTCTCAGCTAACAATCGATGCGGATTCAGTAGTTTCAGCGTGATTGACGGACATCCAAACAAAGAAACTTGCACATTTATAATAGGTATTAGTGAGATGACAATTTTGAGAAAGAATGAACATGAAGTAGTGGCCATCAACTTATCAATTGTCTAATTGTATGGCAGTACAACCTGAATGTAAATCAGAAAGTTACAGTAAATAGAAAACACCTGAAACACGTTGTAACTATCGAACTTTTTTTGTATGATTTAGCACAAAACTTGTAATTGGTTAATGTGGACTACCATAATGAGTGGCTACCAAGTGAGTAGGTACCTCTTAAGTTGAGAAGTCGCAAGAGTAACTGCCGAGCGAAGTAAGGGTCTCGGATTTTATTTTCGAGTCGAGTCAAGTATTATTGTGTAACAGCCGACGTGGACGTCAATACTCTGCAAGCTTAACTGATTTTAGGTAAATATGTTTTACAATTCCTTACACAATTTTTATATCTTAGTATAATAATATACAATTTTGATGGTAGACAGGCCACTTCAGTCGCAGAACTGATAGATGGCCGGAAAGTGGCGACAACTACCCGGAAGACATAGTGAATGAGCTGGGACTCCAAGCAAGCCTCTCACAATCTTGCTCGGAGGTTTGGTGACATTGTCAGGTCGTCAGTGTTGCATGTAACCGTCGTCGGTGGTTAATTCGGTTGCAGTATTTAATCGGAACTTAAGTGTACCTTGATTTCAAATCCTTGATCTCAGTTTGACTTGTAAGTGTATATATGATGTACAAGCTTCTGCTCAAGACTTCGTACGCGCAATCCCTTCCCGTTCCCGTAAGATTTTCAGGACTTTTTTCTGTCATAAGAACCTTCTCCTGATAATAATAAACACAACAAAAAAAACAGCCTAATCGGTTTAGCCGTTCTCAAGTTATAATACTTACTAATATGTGACAGGCTAACATAAATTCTGCTAGAAGTGGCCCATAACAGACCTTAATAAGGGCCTTATCATAATATCGGATTGGAAATGGCTGCGGGCGGAGGGGACGTACAGCGAATGCATCGCGAACATGCCGCGGCTGCGCAGCGAACTCATCGCGGACGCGAGGCAAATACGTTAACATATTTATGGCAAGTAATCCACACAACTTCCACTACATTTTTGAGGCCACTTTGCTGTTCGCGGCGATCTCATTGCGCGTCCGCAATGAATTCGCTGGGCATGCGCGGCGTGTTCGTTGCGTTATGTGTCCTTAACGAATTTGTTACGCGCCCGCTCTGCTTTGAATACGTTCATAATCCGCCTAGTATCATAAGGCCCTTTTTTATGGGGGCCAATCATCGAATGACTTCTCCCGCCTGGCTAAAGGGGTGTCAGACTCTTACTGTCTAAAAACCACCCCGTTCCTATTCCTGCACTTCGAGCCGGAAGCCCGGTAACCCGTTAAGTTCTCCGCGGATCATAAAGCCCTAAGAGTGACGCGGGTGGAGGTGGTAAGGCTAAACCGTTTGAGGAGGCGGGACGCGTGAGGCAGCGAAGCGCTGCCTCCTCGCAACCCAGCCATCGCGAAGGACACACCGGGCGTCGGGGATCGCGGGACGATTTCCGGCCACTGCACCGTAAGCGCGGGCCTGCGGACGGCGAGCATGGGTGGCTCCCCGTCCGACAAGAAACAGACCCGAGCGTACGGCGCGTCGCGTTCCGCGCGCGCCTCAAAGAGCCATCAGACCACCACAGATGGGGCCCAATACGGCCGATGCCGATTCGGAGTCGCGGAGAACCTAACGGGTAACCGGGGCTCCGACTCGACGTGCAGGAGAAGGAACGGGGTGGTTTTTAGTCAGTAAGAGTCTGACACTCCCTCCCGCCTCACCCAGGCGGGAGCAGTCATTCGAAGATTTTCCCCCATAAAAAAAAAATGCTAAACCGTTTTATATAAGTTCCAGACTAAAAATTTTTTTCTTACCTATGTTCGCGACAACAACCTTTCTTTAGCAACAAAATATTTGGTCTTTGGTATTAGGTACGTATCGTTATTGATTTGGGTTTAAAATGTTATGAATTGAATAAAATTCGTGTCTAGCGGTTAAAAAACTCGTTATGTGAGAAAACTAGACGAGCAGCGCCATCCTGACACGTATAAAGCAGCGCCACCCTGACATGTTTCTACTGTTTCTAGTCTTGTTTAGGCGTTGAGCTCAGATTAAAGAAACACGATGGATATGAAATACCTACGAAAAAAACGTGCAAGTGGTGGATTAAACTACGGATGTTACTTTTGAATGTATGTGTGAACTAAGGGACCAAACTCGATATTTGCTAAATTAAGGCTCTATTTAGTTATAGTCTAAAAACAATTGTGGGAAGAATATGGGAATTTTTTAAATAACCCACTAGGCCGTCCGCATCTTAGGAGGGGGCATTAACCTTACTGGAACCCAACTGTAGTTTTGATGGTTCTCTCAGAAGCTCACCCGGAACCTGACGCGCCGAACGCTCGAGGCTGGTTCTCGGAACCACGTCTGCCAGCAACCACTCTGGCAATAAATAAATATATATTGCTAAAGACACCAGTAAAGGAAAACATCGAGAAGAAACTTAGGCTTATAATTTCTAATTATAAGTTTGTAATAACATCTTGAACAAGCGTGGTGATTAACGCTCATATATTTTCTCCGTGTGAGAAGAGGCCTTTCAGCGACTTCCTAGAGTTAGTGCCAGTCGAAAGGTACTGCGGCCCCATGAATCTTAAAATGCTACAACTTACACTCTTATAAGCTTTCTCTTTAGTCTGAATTAAATCCAGAAAAGTTGAGAGTCCAACTAACATGCTGGCTTGATCTTGCACTGGTATTGAATATATTTAGGATTTGATTAGGGTAAATAAGATGGAGGCGCGTGATCTCCAACCGGAGTGTCTTCTGAGGTGCCTAGGACATGAATAGGTTCATATATTCTCACGGGCTATATCTCTTCTTTGGCTGGCATAACTACTGCTTCGCAAAAGGAGGACTGCTGCTTTCCATTCTTCTAGCTCCGCACCCACCATATCCTGAACACAATCAGGACGCTAGATATCGTATAAACCATCATTTCATATCCAAAGTTTCTTATCTGAGATGTAGTGGTATGGAGACAATTTTATTGATCCGTGAGTGTTGTCTATTGTCCTCTCACTTTAACAAGTAAAAATGACAAGGAGCGGCAACTTGATATTGTCTATGCTTAAGTTTTTGGAATGCTTTTCAAATTAATTATGAATTCTACAGTTTTGAGAGCCAAAAAATTGCTACCAAATTATTTTACATATAAAATTCCGATGTGATTTCAAACATTGTTACACATTAAAAATGTATTCTGGGCGTACTGTCCTTGTCTATGGTTTATGACGACAGTTGGTATAATCTGTGTCTTGTGAAAAAAAAGACAATTGACTTTCTTGTTGCGTTGTGCGAAAACTGCGAAATTCTGCCAGTCCGCTGACCAGGAAGCAAGTGTGTTGTGGTTTCGGTCTGTCGGGAGAAAATACAACTAACATTGAATATCATTACAATGGTCTCTGACGTAATTTCCAACACTTAAGATAAGTGTGTGAATTTTTTGACGAAATGTTACCGTCGCAAGGCTCTCTTATTTCGATACAGTAAATGAACAGTCAGTGTTTGTCCATCAGAATGTCGGACGAAATATGTTTGTATGATACTACGTACGACTGTGTGCCAGACAGTCTGTTTGATATTTGTTTGGACTACATTGTGGTGAATCTTAATACGATTACTAATTTTGATCGTGAGACACGATGGCGTCGATTCAAGGAAGATGTTATATTGCCTTCCGAGATTTGCGAAAAATTTATTCGGGCATACCAGAAAAAATATCGCATAAATGATAATATAGCGAACATGTTCCGAGATAAATACCGCACCCGGTTGCACCGCGTTAAATTGCGAAACTCTCGCATTACTGACGAAGGACTGCGCTGCCTGATGGAGCACAAACCCTACGAAGTTGAACTCAACCAATGCGAATATCTGTCGCAGGCATCCCTGGAAATCATCAGTAACAACAGTCAGAATCTGGTGTCACTGAAATTTGGACCCCTGACTTATGTATTTCCACAAGACGACGAAGGTATTTACCGCCAGCGCGGATATATTATCTATGCTCCCAACCTAAAGAGACTTACCATCCAGCGCCGAGGGCTGGCAATTTTTCCTTTGCTGCTGTTGAAACCACTGCAGCACTTGACTCATCTTGATCTATCTGAGTGTACCTCAGCTGGATCCATATGGGCTTTGAATGAAATGACCAACTTGCGATACTTGGTATTGCATGCAGTCCCATGGACAAAAGACTTAATTGATTGGATATCTGGTATGCGTCTCCTGACACACTTGGATATCTCTCAGTCAAATGAGAGGCATGGGAAATACTTCACTCCAAATGAGATTTTGACTCAGTTAGTGGAAAGTCTAACGGAATTGGAGTCGCTGGATATTTCGGGCACTAATTTGGCTGGCACCGGAGCTGCTGCAGTTTCTACTGTGCATCAAGGGACTTCAGATGGCATGGAGTATGAGGTGCGCTGTGACATACCAGGACTTGTAAGCCGAGTCAACCGCCCACTCGAGTTCCTGGGACTATATGGCACTCACCATGGAGCCTGCAAGCGTCATGACATACCAGCTAAAGTGGTAAGTAAGCTGTTAGGTATCATAATTTTTGGTTATTTCACTATTTTAATTGATTTTGGAGTATAGAGGATACATAGAAATGAACAATACACTTGATATAGGTAATTGCTAGGTTGATGCATGGAGCAAAGGTGTTGATTCACAGAAGCAAGGACCTAATACCATGAGCAGTCTGTTATTATTTATTTTAGTAACTATTGATAATAATTGTTTAGTATTTTTGGTATTTTAGTCATCATTGTCCACTTGTAAGAAACAAAAAGCTGTCAAAAGATGACAGAAATAGGTTTTAGTTGGAAGCCGAAGACTTTTAATAGGAAAAGAAACTTCCAATATACATAATAGATAATTTCAGAGATCTTCAATTCTAATAATTATTAGTGTTTTCATAAGGGTTTAAGTAGGTGTTTATAAAATTAATCTTAATATCACAATTATAGTTGGTTTAATCTGGTTTGGCTATGTTTGTCTGACACATTTTGTGAAATTGATAATAAAATAACAAAGTAGTTAACTTCAATAGGTATTACACATTATTTGGGGATAGTAGACTGTATAATGTATATTTCAGTATGTAGGTATATGCTTTTGTTTTAATTTTTATTAACCAACTAGGTACTAATATAAAACTAGTTTCACTACTAAAAAAAAAACAAGTTTTCTTATGCTATGTCATAATAGGACATGTACCGTGTCTTACAATCTAAAATAGTGAAACTATGCTGTTATTTTGATGACCTTTCTATGATACTCAAAATGACAGCATAATTAGTTATGTTTCATCCATCATACCTCCTGCCCATCTAAAGGACGAAAATTATTTATATGGTACACATATAATAAGTAATAATTGTCTTTTGGTGTACACCAAACGAACGGAAACAAAAAAAAATTAAAAATCAGTGTAGGTACTAATTTTCATTAAAGGGTTTTTTCAACTACCTACATTTAAAACATTTAGGACATTACGGAATTAACTTTTGGTATAATTTGAAGTTTTGTTAAGCAATCAAGCACCTATAATTAAGACAATAGGTAGTTAGCAAGACAATCTTTACTTTTCCTTTTGTTGGCTACTTTCGGCAATAGGCATTAAGTAATAGGTAACTAGGTATTTTTATAGTTTTGTCAATTGCGCATCACGTAATATACAGCACGTTAAATGTGCGCACGCACATAGATGCATTCTCTAGGTATTCCTTTTTTCTCATAGTCCAGTAACTTTAGACGTCCGGGTAATGTAACATGGCGCATACTCGATTGTTATAATACAAATTATTCATTCGTTTATTAAGCTGATAAATGTTTGCTGACAGCTTAAAACGTAATTAATTATTTATTCGTCGTTTGAAATTTTTGAACACAGCTCATGTCAGTTCTACTTAAACTTTCTTAAGGTAACAGCTCACGGCGCGATTTCCTCTCGCGGCCACCGCGGCCGCCCATGAGTCCTCAGCCTGAGTCCGTAGAACACATCTTTTTTTATACTAACTAAACTTACCTACTTGCATAAGATAATTACGATAAGGAGGATAAAAATGGTTGATTATTAAAACCATAACTATTTTGCTATAACATATAAACTGGGCTCGCTGTCATTACACCAATAAGTCAGGGGACTTACAAGTTGGGACTGAGAGACGCTAAGGCGTCCTCATCTAATGCTTAACGCAGGTGCTTACCAGACATTGGAGTTTCGAGAGGTAGCTGTTTCTGGTTAGGCGGGTGACAAAACACTCGGGTTTCATTACTGTCAAGACACGTTGGAACGTTAACGTTACGAAACGTTACAGTGCGATGTGTCCTGTATGGCTACGGCGACCTCCCACGTCCAGCTTAGACCATGGTACGGAGCAAGGGGTACTAGGATGCTGTCTCGTCCTTCTGCGAAGCACTTAAGCTAGTTAAGGACGAGGCGGGGCGAGTAAGGGTACAAATCTCCTTACGCCCTAGCCGTCGCGGGAGACACTTCGGGTGTCGAGGATCGCGAGGCATTCTTCGGCCACCGTAAACACGGGTCTACGCACGGCGAGCAAGAGTAGCTCACCGCCCGACTAAAACCAGACCCGAGCGTAAGACAAAGAACCATGAGATCACCACAGACGGGCCCCGAGTAAGGCTTATGCCCGATACGGAGCGGTGGACGACTTCACGTGTTGCCTGGGCTCTTGTTTGAAGAACTCGAAGGGCAAGAGTAGGAACGGGGTAGTTTTTAGTCAGTAGTAGTCTGACACTCCCTCTCACCTCACCCAAGGCAGAAGAAGACATTGGATGATTTTCGCCCAAAAAAAAACAGGCCACATAAACAGAAATTCTTATCTAATTTGCAAAAATAGTGGATGTCGTCAATTTCTATAATTATTTTAGTTTTTATAACAGTGACGGTACTAACCATCTGATTAGATAAATAGACAAAGGAGATGCACTTCTCTCTTTTCCTTTAGGCTTCCATACGTAGTGGCGGTGGCGGGAGTCTAGTCGACGGCGCGCTGGCCTGAGTACTCAAGCTGTCCTCGCCACCAGCGCTTGAACGCGTGTTGCTTTTCTGGCCAGGCCACATCAGCCTTACGAACATCATCATTTCCAGCACTTTACCGCCGTTTTGGTGGATAGTACAAAGGACAATGCCCATAAATGTATATCCCAAATTCAATAATTGTTTAAAATAATAACAAATATTACAGATTTGGGGTTTGCTTTTAATTCTCGTAAATGCAATTATTATCTGTATTCTTCATCGCTTTCATTAGTCTTTTTTTTTTTAAGGGGGGAAAATCATCGAATGACTGCTCCCGCTTGGGTGAGGCGGGAGGAAATGTCAGACTCTTACTGACTAAAAACCACCCCGTTCCTTCTCCTGCACGTCGAGCCGGAGCCCCGGTGCCCCGGTTACCCGTTAGGTTCTCCGCGACTCCGAATCGACATCGGCCCTATTGGGCCCCATCTGTGGTGGTCTGATGGCTCTTTGAGGCGCGCGCGGAACGCGACGCGCCGTACGCTCGGGTCTGTTTCTGGTCGGACGGGGTCCCGCGATACCCGACGCCCTGTGTGTCCTTCGCGATGGCTGGGTTGCGAGGAGGCAGCGCTTCGCTGAAATGAATTTTCGCGCTTCGCTGAAATGAATTCAAATGAATTTTCGCTCCAGACGATCAAGACACGCTCACGACGAAGGTAGCATTTAGCATGCATGCTTCCCCATGCATTCAAAATGCTGTTCGATACACCACTGACGATCCAAGGCTATGCTTAGAAATTTTATGTATCGACCTACCTGGAATTGCGCTTTTCTAATGTGGACCGACTAACATGGTGGCTCCCTGGTTCTCGGCAGCTCATGGAGTTTTAGTGCCCCAGTTTAGTGAGGCGCTATTTCCAAACCCAGCTCGCGAATTAAAGCCGTAACCCGTTCTGTAAGCCGGATGATCTCCCCGAAGGTGCTCCCGCTGGTTATTACTGTAGTGTCATCTACGTAGCAAATGACGACAAGCGAGGTTTTGCAATAAAGAACTCAGTGCAGATCCCGCATGAAAAATACGACCTTGTCATAACCATGATTTTCTGAGGGCTATATAACGGACGGCTAAAACGGACAATTCATCTTTATTTTACAGTATCAAAATCAAAATTACCCTTTAGTCTTTTTGAACTTGTTCAAAATTATCTTGTACCAGTAGATCATTTGTTTACTCTAGTGCACGGTGAAGATTAAGGTGGTCGCTAGAACTAGTGGCATATGTGTAAAAAATATTCAATCCACCGGTATTTTTGGCCTCCCTGCTTAAGGGTGTTTCACAATTTCTAACATAATTCCTAACGTTACCTTTCACTAATGCCTACTTGTCCGACTGTCGGTACTGTATTGTATGTAGCCTTTCTTTTTTTCTTAGATCACTGGGGACGCCAATGAAGAACAGATTCTTACTGCAGCTCGAGCCTATATGGAGCGACCGGCCATGTTGACCCGTGTCCTCAATGATTTATATTATTTGTTCCGTTACGAGAACAATGCATACGTCGGCCGAGCTCTGTCTGTTGTCCTTGATGCTATGGATCAACACGTTACGGAGAAACATATCCAGATATCAGGAAGGTAAGTCGCATTACTGTTTATCTACGCCTTGGTTGTTGTATATACAGCAACAAAGACGTAGTCGTATTTATATAATTATGTATCTACAAAAATGTCCCGTTCTTTAAGTGTTTCACATACATCAAAGAAGTTTCATTATTATGCAACGGGCGTCAACGAATTAATGCGCCGTTGCTATGCCAATGACGAAAAAATATCAAGGCTTCACCTCTCATTGTCAATTCTAAGAAAAGTCAGTACTTATATGATAGAAAGTTAGTGTTATAGTTAATAATTTATTTGAATTTTCAATTAAATTTTTGTGTTAGAAAAAACAGGTCGGTAAAAAATCCTCGAATAGGTCGCTTTATCACATTATTATTGTTTTTGATTAACACATGAAATACTATTGAATTGAAGATTACATTAGGTTTACCTATGAAGTTGCCGTTCTCCAGTACTGGCCATTTCAAATCAAAATAATTATGTTTGTTTGGCTAAGAATTTTAATTTAAAATTAATTTTAATTTGAAAACATGGTATTTTTTCCAAAAGTAGTCATTTGTTTAAAGGCGATTGTAGAAGCTGATAATACACAATCTACGGCTGAATTAGCAGCAGCTTTCGAAGTTAGCATCAACACAATATTAGTCTATTTGCGTCAAATTTTATAGGTAAAAAAGCTTGACAAATAGGTGCCTCACGATCTCAATGATCGCCAGCGCGAAGTATGCGTCGAGACATGCCTCGCACTGCTCAACAGACACAAAAATGAATGAATTTTGAACCGCATTGTGGCCTGCGATGAAACATGGGGTCTGTTTGATAACCACAAGCGCTCAGTAAGTTGGTTGGATGATGGTCCTGCACCTAAACAATGCCCTAAAAACTTACCCCTTGAAAAGTGATAGTTACTCTAGACACCCTAGATAGACAGTCTAGCGCCACTGTGATTCATCACAACTTGTTACTCAACGGGGTGAGTATTACTGCAGATGTGTACTGTAAAGAACTGAATACAATGATGGAGAAGCTGGCGCATCTCCAACCATCATTAGTCCATCACTCGTTTCTACTGCTACTGCAGGACATCGCGCGACCTCATACTGCACAGCAGACGATCTCCAAGTTGCAAGAACTGGGGTTGGAAGCTCTCAGTCGCCGACCTACTCACCGGACCTTGCGCCTTTTCCCAGAATTTGGATAAATACTCAATACCCGAGAGACAGTACCTTTGAAGAATTGGTGCTTCCCGTCCAGCTGATTTCATTAAGAAGGGTTTCTTAAAGAAACAGGAGAGATGAAATCAATGAGCTGCCACTGCGTTGGCAGAGGTGCATTGGTTGCATGGGTGATTACTTCAATTAATAAAAATGAAAAATAGATTTAAATTTTAATTCGATCAAAAATTTTCACACGAAACGGCAATTTCAGAGGTAAATAATCTATTAGGTCTACTTATTAAAGAAAAAATACAGTAAACCTCAATTTGGTCTAATCGGAGATACGATCATTTTACGAATTCAGAATTAGGCTATTCGGCTCAAAGAGCCGGAAATAAACTGTTTTCCAATAAGGCATATACAATATGATTGCTTCATTAGCTAGGTGAGGTTTTTCTATTAAGTACTCTAAAATAGTAAATATAAATCACCTAAAACATATATCTAAACATCTGAATAATACGGATATTAAAGAATATTAAGCTCTTAGTTTTGAGTAGTTGCTGTCATTGTGGCGAGATAGTATAGATTACATACCGTGTTGTATGTAATCGAAGATGAAAGCTAAAAATATAATTTTTGTCATCCATCTTGCATAAAAATGAAATGATATTCCAATAAGTCTTTGAATCACTGACGAACTTGCACTTTTAGTGCCACCCTGTTCTACATCGTAAAAGGGAAAGAAAAGGATCGTATCGGCATGAAGGTGAAGAGACGTATCATCACCGCACTTCTTGACGGCATGGAAGCTCACCTTGGTGATGACACTATGATGAGGAATGGGTGCCTCACTCTGTGCCAATTCAAAATCCCAACCGACGTGGTAAGTTTTGAAACTCTTAATTAGCTTAGGAGCCCTTTTATAGTCATGACTCAATCAATATTGAGTTCTCAATTATTCAGTAACAGTAACAAGTGATGATATTGTAACCGCCTAGAAAGTAAAATCGATACGTCATATACCAATTTTAAGAAATTCTGTACACAGATTTTACATTTATTTTGTTTCATTTTATGCACATAGGTACGCTACCTGAATGATTTCGAGCTTGGGTAGAGTTTGTACTGATAATGTTCATTTCGAGTGCTTAATAATTGGTGCCTAGCGAAAAAGTTCTAGAATACAAGGACAGTTGCAAACTGCGCGTCATAATTTTTATGATATCGATTTCCGCCCTCTCGGGATTTATTCAACGCAGTGTGAGGAGGTAGAGAGACTCCCTCCCACCCTGTTGCATTGGGGGTGAGCTGTAACCACCTATCACATACAACGCTTCGTCGGCATTGATTTATCGTTATCTCGAACTGGTATAGGTAGAGAGGACTCTATACTCTAACTAAAAAACACTTAAATAATTGAAATATTTTCATTATTCCGAACGAACATTTTGTTTACATATTTATGTGTTCTGACATTGAGCTTAACTCAGCCCGAGATCTTCGTAATTCGTATAATTTAGTCAGAAATTATCAGTTTGTGAACGATATTCAACAGTATCATTGAAATTCTTATTGCATGGACGGAACCTCACTGGGCATTCTTAAATATTAAATTCAATATTTAAATACGGTTATAATGTGAAGAAAATTACATTATGCTTGCGGTAGCGGAATCGGTCGTTTCTTATTATGACTTTGATTATACCTAATAAACGTCATCAGATTCTATGAAAATAATGTAAATGGATTTTCTAAGAGCAAATTTATTGGCAATTGGCAGAGTAAATTTTATGGCAGTAGGTGGACACCCAGCTGTAGTGTATCGCGGACGTGTGTTGTCTATTGATACCTACATGCAACGTTCTTTGAACTGATAGTGTACGAAAGAAAAAGTGCATCTAACTTTTATTCATTTTCTTAAGAATAAAAAAGTGCCTACCATATTCTCATATCAACTACGTTTTATGTTTTTTAGTATGCCAATTCTACAAGACAGATAATTATTGTAAATGTGCGAAGGTCAATCAGGAGAAAATATTTTTCTCTCAATAATATAGACTTTGAACACAAACTTGTAAACTGATACGCTATAAGAGAGTAGCCATAACAAACAAAACTGTTGCCTATTTAATCTCAATTCGTGTAATCATTTTGTTTATAATTCGTACTATCTATTATTATAACTGTTACTAAAGTTGTTTTTTCTTTCAGTTGTTCGAATATGAACGTGTGGTACAGATTCTTTTAAACGGGGTGGCCGACGTCAATCAGGAAGGCTTTGTCCAGCGCATCGCTATTTACTTATTAAACTCATTAGCATGTCAAGTTGACGGTAAACAAAAGACCTTCCTCGGAAACCAAGGAGCAATTGGGGTAAGTTTTCCCACAGAAATTTTACATTATTGTATATGCTAGCGATATAAACATCATTTTTCATGCAATGTTGAATTAAAGTGTCCTGACACGGCACTCGACGCGGACCTATTGTCCGGGCTCCTGGGATTGATATGACCTATTTCTATTGAATTGGAATATGATAATAAAGGATCTGCATTCTGCAGTGTGCATTTCACACTTGTTAAAGTCAAAAGGACAGTACAGTGTTCCTGTTAGCTGCCGGCTGGCCGTTAATACTTTTATTACACTGGTTTCAAGACATCTCAGTACAAAGAAATGTATGGTAGTTTAGCATCAGTAATAAAAATAGTTAAATACATATTACCTCGCTGCAAAATACTATGATTACTAACATTTATTTTCAAGTCTATTATTGTTACTCCTACGAGGCATTGGCGATGTGTGCAGGGTGCAATTTATAAAAAGTGCTCGCAGTCTCCAAAATATGGACCACCGCACACTCAACAGTAATTTAATGTGAACCTATGAGGATCAAAAATATCTAAATTGAAATAGTTTCATAAGCTTATATCGGTATCTTATAGGAGTTACGTGCATAAAACGCAGATTCGCAACGTCCCTGAAATGGGTAGCTAGATGTATTGTATGTATACGTATGTAGGTTGTCGACGTGGCAGGATACCTAGGGAGTTGCGCCGGTGTTATTGATTTATGCATCTCAATAGCCCCGCACCCCTGTCACCCCGTTGGTTTTGCGAATCCGGTGAAAGCTTGACCGACGCGACGCTAACTGCGCCCGCCAAAATTTAAAATCTCTACATGCATTTATATATATCATGTTACATGCATGTATATGCCACCAGATCGATCGAGCTCGTCCGGGCTCGACAAGCTAACAACGTAATATGCACATACCGAGTCCTTTAAAGATTATCGTTTGTTAAAGCAATAGATGCAGTTATTCTTGCGACGGTTAACTGGACCCCTTCTGTTATTAGAATTGATGCAATGGTTTGTGTTCAAGGATAGGTGTCAAGTTGTTTTGTTGCAGTCCTTTTGAGGCATATTCTTCCCGTAGGTTTTCGAAAGCCTTCCATGACTTCTTAACAGTATCACCGAGCTTTTCAGTTCCCATCTTTATACTATATTATATAGTCATTAACTAATCATGAATGGTTTAAACATCTTCAACCTCGGCGTCATTAGTGGAACTGAAAGTTCTAATGATGCTGAAGGCGGATTATGCTGAGCTATACATAAAGTAGGAGAAGTGGCTAAGCGCAGTAAGTGAACTTAATAATTTACCGAACCGGTGCAAGTTTTAGCATAAATGGCTGATTGTAGCTTGAAAGTATAAGGCGATGTTATAAAACAGTGAGCTGAAGAAAATAAGCTGTTCGAAATTCACATTGTAAAGGGAGGGTCTCGGTCACTTCATTTGTGTACATTCATTTGTATGACATGCTCTTGGTGAAGTATAACGACTTTGATTAATGTATAAATGTATATTTCTTTCCTTGATCTAAATATGATTTGGAAATGTGTAACTGTACTTGAACCTTTATTCTGTTATTATGCGAAGACAGGACCGACGAGCTGACGCGCTACAAGCGAATTTAAAAGTCATTGTTTTAAACGGCGAATGTTTATTTACTTTTGTTTTGTTTTTAAATGACTTGGTCTCTTGGCTTTGATTATTATTAGTTGTTATTTATTGTATTTTTTTACTGTGTATTATTTTGCTGTAGCAACATTATTTAGTTTTTACTTTCTTTTGAGCTCTTGCGTGATATTTGCTTTCGTGTTAACACGTGGTGTTTTATGTTTTTCCATTGCTCTCTGAAATAACGTTGGAAGTTTTGGTATCAAAATAACGAATATTTTTCAATTCTGTGGAAAGTAATGGGCCATGTATTGCGCAAATATTAAAACGCAAATATATTTTTTATTAAAACACCGATTGATTTCAATATTCCTCGAGGAATGTAAATCAAAATAAAAAGTAACGGATACAGTTGGATAAGCACTCTGTTTGTATTTAAACAATTTGAATTGGTGTTTGTCGAAACTCCCGATTTGATGAATTTTCATGCTAGATTATGTTGAGAAAAGGAAGCATTATATCTTTTTACTGAAAACGTCTACAGCGAGATCTTACTTGAGTGTTACGTATTCTTAGCTTAACGAGTCTTTTGCGCATTGTTCCATAGAAAATAGTTTTATGTTATAATAATAGGTTATAAGCAGTTTTTTGTTAGGGATCGTGATAGAGTTTATTTGACATGATATTCGTTTTCTAGTTTATTTATGGGTATTATGGCCCATACTCATGAAGAACATTGAGCGACAAAATTTTGAAAATTATGAATTATCTAATTCTGCTGACACATTTGTTTCACGTCTTAAACTTTATGAACCTCTTCATAAATGCTAGTCCGTGTAGTAGGTAGTGATTGTGACACCACGGTGGCTATCTAGTATCTACATCATCTAAACTGGACAAAGGGGTTAAGTGGGCGTTTGAGGACGTCTTTTGTAATGCTCAAGAGATAAGAAGACACTTTTCATCATAAATTAAAAAGGATTTAGTAATGATATTTTTTAGGTCGATATTTCGTAATTTTAATATTCGCTATATTTTACTATTCCGTAATTTCTTGTGTAAGCTACGAGTACGTGTTGTTACAGATAATGACTAAATTGTTAGACGTTTTGTATAATTATAAAACGTACCCCGTAACTCTTCAATAAATATGTTAAAATAATAAATTGAGACACAATTTTCTTTGTTTAAATTGTACAAAAGGAGGTCAAACTATTCGATACGTACTTTTCCTTTATATCTTTATCATATTTTCTACATGACTACACCCAGGAGCTGTCTAAAAATAAATATTTTATTGATCTGTCGCCGGTCTGTTTCTCGGACTTTCTTGGGTTACAAGTCAATTATATTTGGGTTTGGCGGCGGCCATTAAGTAATTGGTTATTATTAGCTATTTATTGATTACTAAATGTATTATATGAACTCTTGTTAGTCATTCTTTTCATGTACGAGCCGAGTAACTACTAATATTGACGTAGAGATTTACTTATTTCTGAATAAAGTTCTGACTCAATTCTTACCTGACTTCCTCGTTGGTCGAGTGGTCGCAAGTGCGACTGCCGGGCAAGAGGTCTCGGGTTCAATTCCTAGGTCGGGGAAAGTATTGATGCGTTTTAAAAAAAAATCTCATTAGTAGCAAGGAGTCTGGAAATGTGGCATATGGCAATAGGCTCACCCCCTATTACATGGGACTCACAACATAAATATTGAAAAGTGGGCGTTGTAAAGTGGCATTAAGTGCCGTTATGTGCTTATCTGCCTTCCCCTTCGGGGATAAAAGGCGTGATGGTATGTCATGTTCTTTACCTGTAATTTAGAAGATTTCTTTAGAATAGTCCTGCGCCAGTACGAGTATTTGGAATAAATTGTTACTTATTGAAAAGTGCTTAGTGCTTGCTGATAGAATTGTTTAAATCAATACTTACTTCGAAGCATTCTGCGGAAACATACAATGAAAACTTTCTTTTTAAAAACCATTACATTATGTAAACATATATTAGGGCAGGTATATTTACTAGCATCTGTGTATCGAGAACAATAATTTTCGAATATAGAAATACTTTTAAGCCTTTACGAGTTTTCTTAAATCTTCATATATTATATGCAACGCGAAAAAAAACAATCGAAGCGCTTTATTTCCATGTGGCTCTCTCTTTACTTTAATTTACAATGAACTTAGCTACCCTATGGTTTTGCTTAAACAATCTAATTTGGTGATAGTGATTGGCGGCATACATTATAAAATTATATGGCTACCTGGCTGGCGTTTTTATATTGGCGCTTTGGATTATGATAATAAATAATGAACATTACTGTGAATTTAATACCCACATTTATACCCGTGAATGTACCCCCTTTCCCATATTAGGCGATAGAGAACCTCTTCTCACTTGGCAGTTATTGAAGTGGTTTATTGCAGCCGATGTATCATGTGCAGTCTCTATTGTTTCAGAAAATGCTCAACTTGATTTCCGACCGGTTGGAACGTCGGGTCTGTGATGATGTGCTGGAAGTGGCCTGGTCCACTATGTGGAACGTTACTGATGAGACTCCACAAAACTGCCAACGCTTCTTGGAGAACCGTGGCATGGAATACTTCCTTGCCTGTCTCAAGGTAACGGCTTATTTTTAACATAAGGAAAAGATCAAAACAATAAGCAATTAATCGACATTTAATAATCCTCTTATATATAAAAAAATAATTGTTAATTATGTTTTGTTTTGTGATTCAGAACTGTTGATATGTTCAAATATTTCATGAGACGCAGATATCTGGAAACACACTGATTTTATTTGTATAATATTTGATTAATTTTAATTATGAAGTAATAACCGACGACTATATAATTTCAGATATTCCCCGACAAGGAAGAGCTGCTGCGCAATATGATGGGTTTGCTGGGCAACGTGGCTGAGGTGGCTTTGTTGCGTCCACAGCTCATGAACAAGCTGTTCCTGTCCGTGTTCTACGAACTCCTCGATTCGTGCAGCGACGGCATAGAGGTCAGCACCGATTTATTTACTTACGATTTACATAATAATATATGTTGTGTTACGATAGAACAGCTACTGCACCTGCGACCAAGAATATTGAAGATGTCATGGTAAGATTGTGTAAACTTAGCTGTGCCACTACTCTCACTATTGCACGAAAATGGCAAATTATATATCCTTTTGGTGTACCCCTTTCCCCCGCTTTGTCGCAGCAGCAGTAATGGAAAGCAGCGAAGGACTAACTACTCAACTAATGCGTTCAAATTAAACCTGAAACATTAAATAGTATGTGTATAAAATATATATTAGCAATTGATTTGGCTGGTACAAAATGCTCATGGCATTAATCCCGCCTCATGTACACGTTTGTGCATGAATAAGAAATAAAATGGCAACATTATGAATAAATTAAATTCTAAAAAAAATTAAAATAGTTTAATCAAATAAATAGTAAAAATAATATGAATATTTCATTAGTCATTCACTTGCAACATATTATCATTGCTTCAATCACGCGGAACTCTTCATAAACATCGGTAGTAGCAAAAATTTTTCAAAATTTGAACAAAAAACCCCAATTGGCAATAACTTGTAACCTTTATATCCTTTTATGTTGTAAACATAGATTTGAATGTTATATTGTGGTTGACGTCTAAAAAAAACGACCCAGGTGTTTAATGCATATTCTGACGAAGTAAATTATTGTAGGTATCTATACAAAATATAATATGTACAATAAATAATCAACCCTTTCTGCCGCCGTAAATATGGAACATATACGCGAATCTATGAAGAAAACCACAAATTATAGTAACGCAATAGTTTGATGCTTACATAGCGTGACGAAATATTTCATGATATAATTTAATTATTACAATAACCGCCGAATTCACTTTTAGAAAAGTAAATGTCAAACTATTGCTACTTCTATTCCTTAAATGAATACGTATGTACTTAGATTTTGCTATGTGCGCACGTTGTTGATAGATATTTGTAACTTTTACGGCATTAATGAAAAATTTTGTAATGCGCGCAATATGGATACGTTTTATGACCTATGGATTTTGTCTGTGGGGATTTCTCGAAGATAAACATATTCACACAGTAGAGAGTAATAGATAATTCGGATAAATGTGTCGACTGATATCTTTGAAATCGACTGTAATGTTTAAAGTAAATCAATTCTAACTATTCCTAAAACTAACTGACTAATCATTTTAAAAAACCGGCTTAGATTATATGTGTTGTACAAACACTTATAATATGTGGGTCGTTGTAAGTTTACCGCTCTATGTACGTAAAATACCGTAAATAGCAATATTGCATTACTAAATATGTACATAGTTGTAATGAACATTTGCAAATGTTTGAAACTTATTGTCAACATATCAAGACAAGTAATAAGTTTTTGGAGTGTAGATTATTTTGTAATTTCCACGCATAAAATACATGTAGGAACCAAGATACAGTAATCATGATCAGAATTTGTTAAGATTTTTTGATTGAAATACCTGCTAAGAAAATGAGAAACACGCGAAGGTGATGGAGGCAGTCACACAAATTTGTTTCTGATGTCTACGTCGTGCAATTGATTCAGCTCGTGGAGCTCAGCACAAGGTAATCCCTCAAAGATGTAGTAGTTGTATTTATCTCTCTGGGCGCTACATCCTACTGACGCTGGGGCCAGGACATCAACGTGGTAAAACGACACGAAGCCAGCATTTTCCGACCTACAGGATATGTGAACACAAGGTATGGCTACTGCAGCAAGCGACAAATAATTCAAGGCGTAAGTCCACTGCGGAATTACGAGCTAATGCTTTTGCTCACGTAGTTAATTCAAACACCTTACCAATAAACCCAACAGTTGTAGATAGTCGATATGCTTTAAGTTATTAATTAGGTATAATCATTTTAAATAAAATCTGCTTGAGGCCTTATTTTTAACAGGGCTTGTAAATCCTGAACTAATGAAAATTATAGAGGAGGATTTACGTGAACTGCAGTTTGCCGAATTTAAAGCATTGCACATTATCAAATGTTCATCTGATAACAATTTAAACATAACGATGATGCGAAATTTATCTAGAACTATCTCGTAGATAATGCAAGATTTTTGTACACTCGTTACTGTGGATATAATAACAAACGAGGTACTCAATAATATTGAATTGACATGGCGAAACATGTAGTTTAAAAAGAGTCAAAGTTCTAAGTACTGCTAGAATTGCTTATCTAAGCCAAGCAGAAGCAATCGGGTAAGAGCTATTATTAATAGGTTGCATCTTAAAGATCTTATGTTTTAACACCAACCCAACTAGGAATTTATGCACAATTATTACGTTTTTTTTTATAAAAAGTTATGAAAGTAGTAGTTTAAATTGTATTATTATGACACTTGTACCGAGTGCAGAGGGGACGAGCTAGACGGCCGCGCGCAGAGCGCGAGGCTCGTCGCGGGCGGCCGTGGTTGCTCAACGAACCGTCTGTCACCGATATGCGGCGCCGCGGATCATGGCACGGCGCACGCAGTGAGGTGGGATATATAATAAAAATAGCATTAAGGCTAATATAAAAACTATTTAAGTTTTTCTTATTTACTATAAGACATTAAAGAAAACTATCAATGGTAACTAAAATGAAAACGAACAGCATCTTGAGTTAACAAGTGTTTTTAAAATTAATCTGGGAATCAGGTTTCGACTCCCTGGTTGTTTTCATGTCTTTACATTTCAGTTGAGATAATAATTTGTTTGATTCCATTTACATTTTCAATTCATAACTTGGTTCGGTTTTAGTAAAATAAAAAACTTAAATAAAATATATGTTTCGTTGATCAAACTGGTGTTTGTAATTATTTTGTAAAGACATTCTGAAAACGACAAGATTATCAGTTTCGCTCAGAGTTCGAAATTATCCGATATTAATAATAACATACATAACTTCACGCCTGTCTCCCATGGTGGTAGGCAGAGACCATGGAACCCCAATAATGCTATGATAAATATCAAAATATCGGATATCAGATTTGTAATAATTCTCAAAATATCGGAAATTTATAATATGTACCCGATATATAGTTTCATATATTCCATTTTGTATGAACGAATGTTGTTATTATTAAAGGGAGCTAGTTAAGACAAAACACAATATTTTGTTCTAGATTAGACAAAATTGATATACATCACAAAAAGTTATTGAATATAATTATTATATCGGATATATATCATAATATATATCCATTGATATATGTCCTTCGAACCCTGGTTTCGCTATACTCATAGACAGTACGGAAATTAATAATCTTGTTGCATTTTCATAATATTTTATGTAATTTGTAAGTGAATGTTAAATTATGGTAATTGTAAGTTTATCTGTTTAAATTTAACCTTTTAGTAAATTAAGCCAGTGAAATAAAGTAAGCGCTGAACCTAAGTTAATGTTCAGTCCTTACCCTGTTATGGTTGAGACTCTTGTCCCCAAATTAATAGTATCTGGCTTATTTACTCAAAAGAAGAGATGGAACTAATAATTATTACATTGATATACATAAATAAAAAAGGTCTTCTAAATAAAACGAATTAAAGTTTACGTCTGAGTCGAAATATACTCAAACGTGACGTGGTTTGATTTTTCAAATAGATTATTTTTATATCTTTTGTATCTATTCTTAACGCATTGAAAACGTGTCCTTCTTTTTCATCTTTCTAATTTATGTAATTTTTTGAACAACTCTAGAAGATAATACGGTTTAACTGAACGTCTTCCATCTCTTCTTTTTGTCAATAGTATAAGAAATAGTTTAAGTATAATTGATGTTAAAGTGATAAGATTGGTATAATTATTATCTAAAGCGTGGTTTTCTAACAGAGGGGTACACTACAACTAGATCTGTGGTACACTATGCTTTAAAGACGAACATCTGCATTGTCTATGCCATTGTCTATGACAGAACATTACAGTTCTGGTGCGACCTGCGACTGACTTTGTATTGCAAGAATACTTTTTTTTATAGAAACTTCTTTTTGATGAAGTCAAGTAAGTTGCTTATCATTAAATATTGCAGAATAAATGTATCTAGATAAAGTAAATTAGAAGAAACATTTTCTAGACTTAGATTGTTATTGCTCCTTTGTTAATATTCGGGTACATTGATTCTTCAGTATATGCACTATCTAAGTGGCTAAAATAATAAATGATACGTGCACTACGTGGTACTGTGTCCACCAGTAATCTTATAAACGCCATAAAACTGAAAGGCTACTCAATTTTAAATTGTTCTTAAATGTAGTACCATCTCAGTTGTTTTACAAAGATTTGTGATTTATGCGCGACTTAAAATTGAGTAACGTTTGACCATTTCGACATTATGTGCCATTATGAGGTCCTGATCTTAATGTGATCATTTCCACACACGGGGCATACATTCGTAATTATAAGTGTGTATCACCCATTCAAGTAAGACCAAACGTTCAGCTTTTTATTTTTATAAGCTTAATTTTTATATATGACATAATTGCTGTATATTCTTATCTTATACTATGCAACCCTCATTTTTTTTTCGGTGAATCACATGGGATTCATTTAATTCTAACGTCTAAGCGCCTGTCTCGCCACCCTCATATAAGTATGTAACGTTTAAACTTATGTGGCATATATGATAGTATATAAAAATATGTTCCTAATTCAAAGGAGATCATTTAGCCTCCCATAAATTTTTGGGCCTTTTCTGAAAGTTGTTACAAGTCGTTGTCACAAGCCAACGAAAAAAAATGGTACGTATCGTTAGAACTAACCATTTGGAGCAATAGTTATTATGGCGTAAAAGTTGTACGATCCAAGATGAAGAAGCTATATTAGTTCAAAGATTCATCATTTTCATACATTTATAACATTCTGAAGGTACTAGGAAACGCAAAATAATCATCGATATTGCTGAAATAATGAATCTGGGGCAATTACGATGATAAAGCGAAAAGTTTTTTTTAAATATTTTCCATTGACTTGTCTCGTCCTGGGGGAAGTAGGAGGGAGTGCTAGACCGTTGCGGACTATAAAGCACCTCGTTCCAAATTGTACTCTGTCCCGGGCCTCGGTACCTATAATGATCTCCTTTATCTGGTAGCTAGGTACCAGATAATATGGCTATCCTATATCAAAAAGCCATGAAAATTAAAACATAAAGGCTTAAATATCCGGATGAGTCATCGGTTGCTGCATTGTATGCAGCCAAATGACATTACGATAAATCAATCTGACAATCAACCATTTTTTACCATTGTTCATCATCTTCTGTGTCTATTTTTTCATTACATGGTGTCTTAAATCTTCGAATTTACGATACCTACTAAATGAAAATAATAACTTACTTAAAAGCATGCGAAAAGGAATAAACAACAAAATGATTGCTAATAATAACGTTTAGATGTGAAATAAATTAGAGATTGATTGACAGGTAAGCTACAACGCTGCCGGTGTGCTTGCTCACATGGCTTCTGATGGGCCGCGAGCTTGGACCGTGTCGGAGCCTGCCCGAGACATGGTGCTCCAGCGCGTGGCCGCCGCCGTCGAGCGCTGGGACCTGCGCGCTGAGCGCAATATTAACTATCGCTCATTCGAACCGATCCTAAGCCTCTTACACGCTCATCACACTCCACAATGCCAACACTGGGCTGTGTGGGCTCTCGCCAATCTGACAACTGTCTACCGTGAGTATTTTGTTAAATAATACGTAACCCCAGTTTGCTTTTCTTCGTCCACTATATAAGAGGTAAAAATACATGCAATAATGCCTACACTGTTATGTAACTTAAACTCAATTGTACATATATTATTTCAGCTGACAAGTACTGCACCTTGGTGGAAGCCGAAGGAGGCTTGCGCCTGCTTAATGAGCTGCTGCAACACCCACGCCCCTACGAGCCGATCAAGAAGCTGGCGTACATTGTGATCGACAACTGCGCCCGCTATGCGGCCCGAGACACCGCCTACAGCCCCCCTCTCTCCTCGTCCCCTGATAACTAACTAACGGAGTTTTTCGAGGAGATCAATCCTCGACTGCGTGAATAGCGCCGGTGTTGCAGGATCACCATGTGTGTAACACTGACCGCCATCGTCGGAGCGAGTTTATTGTACATCAAGATCAACTACTTTGGTCCGTAACTAGTAGTTATGCCAACCTTACACACATGGACTTGTCACAAGCCAAAAACTTTTAAATTTTATCATTATTATCATGACCTAAGGAATCACTGTGTTAGTACAATAAGTAAATTATGGGTGGCATGTGCCAGTAAATGTAAGCGAAATTTTATCTGTACTAGATTAGAACTAATACCATTTCTATCAAGATTGATGTATATCGAGCTTACAACCCTGGGGCTGACCACCATCTCTTGCGAAACCATCTTAACTCAAGAGGCCTCTAATATATAAATACTAGTATTTCAATCTTTTTCTAACTATCTGAGTTTCAAGGTAGATCCGAGAATACTACATTTTCTGAGTTTGACCAGCAAGTTTATATTTCGACCTATACTATAACTTTGATACTTAATTTTCAGGAGAACATAAAGCTGCTATCTATGGCGATTACCATTTTGATCTCGTATAGCTAATCATCACCGTATATTTGAACGATGAAGTATATAACACAAAGATATATATTCCATGGTGTTGGTCGGCTCTTAGGTTACGATACATTTTGAGAACATAAACAAGATCTATATCATTGTTTGTGAACCTTGATCCCCCTTTAGAGTCGTCTAAGCGTATTTTCCTAATACTAGTGTATAAAATAAGGCTACACTTCACACGAAAACTCAGTGATCGTTTATTTGATGGCAGCTGTCTTTGAGTTTATGATTATGGTTATTGATTCAATTTACGTTTTGTGCTTTGTAAGAATATGATCTGTATTGTGTAATATAGTTCGAACTTGGTAGAATCAGTTTATAATAAGTACTATAATATATTAATTTTTATTTATTTGACGTATTACAAAATATTGGTAAATATTATTCTTGGTCTAAATAAATTTATTTTAAGCTCCGTAAGGACTTGGATGATAGGGTTTAATTGTTAGTGTTAGCATGATCAAGGTGTGCACTTGACACGATTTGCCTCAATTTACTATTCGAATTGTGAGAGAAAGAGCCACGATATTCGAGGTGTTAAGGAATTTGAACTACGATTTCAATCGGAAAAGTCGTTGGATGTATTTGCAAATGATTTAGAATAGCGTCAGCGATTGTGTGAAGGTTGTGGTGAATATAGGTAGCTTAGTAACTTGAATAGTTGTGTTTAGTTGTTGGGAAATTCTCGAATAGTGAAATGGAGCAAAAGTTGCATGACCTTTATTGTAGTAACATAATAAAATTATTCTTTTGAAACGTATGGAAGTTACATAATATATTTTTAACTTTGAGACAAAAATTAGGTATGTTCCTCATTTGTTACAATTCAAATGAGTATATTATTTTATTTATGTCGTCGGGCGATATGATTTATTTTTAATAAAGTTTTTATAAAGATTCTATATGTCAGGTTGTCTTTCATGCTGCGGGGAGCAATCTGATATTTATATAATATTAGGCCGATGCACAGCATCCACCAAATAGTAGCAGCAAGAGTGGGTTGCCACACATTATGTACTGAGGAAGTCCATCGGATTTCCACGTTATATCTGCGATGGCGGCTGAACGTTAATAAATATTATTAATATAATTAACACGAAACAAACGGAAAATTAATTGTATTCACGACAGTCCACGGCAAAACCACACAAACCTTATGTTGGTTGTTTTATCTTTTCTATTGTCTGTAAACACCAACTGTTGGCATATACACAACTTTATTCAAATACATCGATGATGTGTCGTATATGGGCATTGATGCAACTCTGACCAATACCAAGTGTATAACATAACATCTTTTCTTAAAACTTTATTCATAGTCTCAAATCACGATACATCTACATCGGTCCGTCCCGTTTCCGTTGCCAGTCTAATTAATATTTTGATATCATATTTCTACTAACTATCAATACTAATACTAGTCATATCGTCTTAGTTGTGTGGATATTTGCATTATACTAATAATTTTGTATTTAATAATCATTATATGCCCTAAACATTGGATTGCAACATAATTGAAACTACTTGATCTTTTGAACCAACATTATTTTATTAGAGTGATGCATGTTACGTCGTTGCCACATAAATTAGTGATGCTGCTATTACTTGGCTCTTTTGTTCCACATTTGTTGAAATTGCCGCACGCGTATTGCACTGCGTCGCCATTTAACACAACAGTTATCACGCGAATTATTGAATAAACTTCAGTATAAAACGGAGGAACGCTATATAATTTTGCTATTGTAACTGATTTATTGTTTTTAATCCTTGACATTACTGTCTTCTAATTTACATGCATTGATTAACTCTTTTATATAGTGGAATAGATTCCATTACATTGAATTCCTTAGGTGCTCTGCAGACTACTTTCTATCGGCCGATAGTTGAGGCTGATTCGAAATACGTATTTAATTGAAATACGATAAAATAATGTTCTGATTGTTCGCATATTATAGAGATTTCATGCCCATAAATAAAATGGGGCAACTATTGGACGATAATTTTGGTAGTCTGCGGGGATCTTTACAATATTAGTAATTATAATGATTGTCTATTTATCAACAATAGTGTTAAGCATTTGAAATTGGTATTCACTTCATAATTCCGGTCAGATTGATGTTATCGTGAAATTTTCGTGTGCTTATTGTTTAGTATGATCCAGTGTACATTTTTGGATCATATTGTATTTCGATTTGAAAGCAGACGAGTCTCTCGACGACTAAAATGTGGTTCCAAAAATGACATTGTTGATGTAGCTTCAGCGATATCGTAATAGATTTAATGTTTAATGCAACAGATAATCATTCATGTGTCATAGGTGTCTATTATAGTTATCTTTGCAGCGCGCAATCGTGCTTTTCCTGTTAGTTTGGATAAGAAAAGCTTTGTTTGGCAGTCATTGATTGAATTACTGATTGAATGGCGGACAGAAACATTTGCGTTGGTTGAAATGGATAAGGACAAACCCAACTGGTGGGGGCTGGAACCCAATAAGGGTCACGAACGCGTAGCACCCGCATTAGTAGTTATGTTAGCGCTCTGCAAATATACGCAGAGCAAAAGTTTGTCGGAAGACCACTGGCATGTGCGGCAAGCATAAGCGCGCCTTCGTGGTAGGATGCGGGGAGCTAGTAGGATGGAATAGACGCACTTGAGGAAAGCAAGGAAAACGATTTTTTGACTCTCAATGTTATCTCTAGGAATATTTTAAGATATTATTGCCGTGAGAGGTTGGGCTCTTATTACATTGTGCTGTTAAGGAATGAATAAAATATTTAGGAAGTGTATACGCGAGGGATAAATAATGGAATTATTTGCGGATTTAATCGGCCTTGCAGAGAGCACATGGTAAACGGCATCATTATATATGTAGTGGATTTTAACATTTTATCACATTTTCGTCGGAACAGTCCTTACAGTATAACAGTCGGTGTTTTATGATGTTTAATAAAGTAAAGAAATAGTATTACATTTTATCTTACGTGTATATCGGTACTATATAACCGATCATTAGATGTTTAATGTCTATTTTATTATAATCTTCTTAGTATGATAATCTTTGTGAGGTTCGCACATGATTTATTTTTATTTTATTGTATGTTATTGAATTATAATCTTTGAAATGAAACAATTTATCTTCTTATACCTGTTTTCAATTGCCGTGTCATATGATTTTGTTGTTCATTATGTTTGTTTTACTGGCGTTGATCATGTTTTAATCTAATAATTTTACCTCTCTGATTGTCATTTTAGAGATTGATAAGTTATCAATAATAAATATCTGAATGTCCGTACTTGTTGAATGTTTTTATTTCCACCACCTTAATATATCCTTTCCACTTTGTACAATTACAGACACTTTTACATTAACATACTTCAATACACAATAATAATATCAATGAATGATGATGATGATGATTAAGAAATAGTATAATTGAAATTCTTTGAATCATAGAAACGACTTACTAGCATCTTAATTCATATCCCCAATATTTTAATCGGATCCATTTATCTTTTATGGTGACTCATGTAATTAGGTATACAATTCACACATTATACACATAGTAATAAAATATCTTGTCTATCATTGCACATAGTTGTCTGACGTGTATAGTGTCAAATATTAGAAGTATAACAAGAAAGGACGAGCTTGGTTTATAGTGGGTGTCGCTCGGAGGAGCTCTGTTTAATTTTGGTATTGGTCTCAATAGTAAGTCACTCAAAATCCTTACCTATTAGATTTAAAATAAAATAATGTTAAATTTACAACATAGTTTAATAGTTTTCCAGTTACATCAGCATATAAAATGTTCAAACTATGGACAAAACTTAATTCAGAGATGCGGTGTAGCTAATAAAGACAGCTATTATTCATTAAGTATAACAGTGCCCATTAGAGCGTCGATCACTTGGTAAGGGTCACAGTTTGAAGGGGGTCGGCGGTCTTCTAGATAACCGCATTTATTTTCAGCCACCGTCCGCGGTATTCTTATGCTATAGAACCGCTCTGCAATTCCTATAAAAATAATTGTTCTAAGATAACTTTAATATTAATTGTCATTTGTATATACTAAAATAAAATATCTCTACCTAATATTTTTTTATTACTGATCATCATCACAGTTAAAAGATGCAAGATAACCACTGCCGAACATAAGGGTCTTCCAATGACTACCAGATACTGTGCATCAGATTGGTGGAACTAATGTTTTATGCTGATGATGCTAAGGTAGATATCGATAATTTATTCTCTCACTAATCATAACTGAGTCTTCTTCAAGATGTTGATAGGTGGGCTATCCTACCTAGGTGTCGCGGAGAACCTAACGGGTAACCGGGGCTCCGGCTCGATGTGCAGGAGAAGGAACGGGGTGGTTTTTAGTCAGTAAGAGTCTGACACTCCCTCCCGCCACGCCCAGGCGGGAGCAGTCATTCGATGACTTTCCCCAGTTAAAAAAAAAGCCTACCTAGGTAGTTACCTACAACTTCGAAAATTTCGCCGATGGATCACCTTGTGTTGGTACCGAATAAAAATGATATTATCTAACAAAAATAGTGGTTAACAATAATAATTTGATAGAACTGTGAGTGTAATAATGGTAATCGTGGTAAATATTAAGTTCACATGAATTTCACAGCCTATATAGTACAGAGTTATGTATTTGTAACTCGACGTATTCCTGCCGGGAGGTGATAATACAACTAATTACCTACAAAAATAGCCGTGAGGTCCCTAGTCCAAAAGTGGCTAGCTTCTGAGATATTCAACATTTTCGATTTTGGTGAAAAAAATCTCGATCTAACTACAGAAATATTAATAAATAAAAAACTATCTACTGGTTTGATTTAAGTGTTAATATATCGCTTTAATAGCAAGTAAATTAGTATAAAATTTTCTTTTCACTCACTAATGTGGTCAATAGAAAAAGCTGGAGCGTACAAACTATTAGAAAAACTTGCTTGGTTTATTAGCTACCCAAAACATTAAATTATTTATAACATTGTCAAAAATAAATTAATTACTTGATGGTAAGTAGATTAGTAAAGGATAACGAACAATTTCAAAAACATAATTATTTACAAAATTTGGTTCAAAGTGACCTACCCTATGATGAATACGGGCATGTATAGCACACGCTTCCTCATCGCTATGACGGTCGTTCTTGAACTGAATGAGCGCCTAATTTCTTCAGAGGGGAATTATTATCGTACCTGCAGAAAAATCATCTATGGTACTCGGTAATCTAGTACCAGTCAAACGCCTCTTGTTGTCCAATCCACGTCGTGGGTCATATACTTTGATGTGCCTTTCATGAAAGGTTGCTAACTTTTTTATTCCCTTCTGAATTATCCTGGAAAGTGTAGTGAATTTTCAAATCTGATCTGTTCTGTTTTCTCCTTAAACTGTCAAACACCAAGCGGTCACCGGTGGCCGCAACCTATTGTTCTATAATTGTGTCTATAATGACGGTACTCAACGAGTTAAATAACGGTAAACATTTAAAAATTACATAACATAACATCACGCCTTTTTATCCTCGAAGGGGTAGGCAGAGGTGCACATTGCCACCGTGCAATGTAACACCCACTTTTCTCTATTTATGTTATGAGTCCCATGTAATAGGGGATGAGCCTATTGCCATATATAACCGGCCACAATTCCAGACTCCGTGCTACAACTGAGATTTTTTTTAACCCAGTAATACTTTGCCCGACCCGGGAATCGAACCCGAAATCCCTAGCCCAGTCGCACTTGCGACCACTCGGCCAATGATGCAGATTTAAAAATTATTATTATAATAATATATAATAATAAATTCTTTATTTAGGAATTGTACACTCCATATCTTATACTATTAGGAACAAAAAAAAACCTATATTATCTAGAAAAAGTAAGAAAAACAACAAACAAAAAAAAAACAATTTATGATAAACTAAAACACAATAACAACCTTAATAACATGACCAGCATTACGCTGCAATTTGCATCCATTTTTTATATACAGACGTGGCATACAATCGGTTGTATAACTCCTTGATGATACTGTTTGTGCAAGTATTTTTAGTTATTATGTATTTTCGATTTCAACTTTATGTTCTTGATATAACTTAATGGTTTCGTGACCAGCTAGTGACACCAGTAAGTAGGGAGTACAGAGTTCTATACCTTTACACTGACTTACTTGCATGATCTGGTCGTACCAACGGCTATAGTGTCCTAAAAAACTAAGTGTAAGTAAATTGCTTATCTGACTTGGTAGGTACATATCCTTACTAATATTATAAATCGGAAAGTGAGTTTGTTTGTTGGTTTGTTTGATTATTCCGCTTTCACGCCGTAACTATTAAACCGATTGCTTTGAATTTTTGCAGACGTAAAGTTAGAAGTCTGGATTAAATAATAGGGTACTTTTTATTCCGGAAAAAAATGATATTTCCGAGGGAAAAAAAGTATTGTTATAGATGGCGCTGTGTGTATATGTCACATAGGCTACTTTATATCCTTTTGTGACGCGAGCGAAGCCGCGGGTAAAAGCTAGTTTACAAATAAGTATAAAGTGAAAACTTACGAAATACCGTTTACTCCGCGTGTAGTCTGAGTGGAAAAATTCATTTGTGCCTTAGATGTAGCCCACTGTGCAACTGGTTTAGGTTCGAAGGAGATTATAACTCCGAATTTCTCACCAAGTATATTCAAAATGTAGCGAGACATCCAGGCATCATCACCTGCGTCTATTCCGACTGAGGGACCGACTTGATACTCCCACTGTGATGGTACTAAGTCTGGATTTGTACCCCACAGAGGAATACCGGCGTATAAACAACATCTGCAAATTTAAACAACTGTATGACAATTCTGTAATTCTACATATTTAGGTACTCGCATATTTCAATGCTGTATACAGTATATGTGTATGGTCATGATATTACTAAATATAACACCACAAAAAATATATAGTATGTACTAAGATTGAGACCTTTAATCTCACACTGTCAAAAAAATCAGATCTCATGTAAAGTCAAGTATTTAAGCTTAATGCCCTATATCAATAACCCTGTATCAATAACCGTTTTTACACTCAGCGGTATATACACTGAGACGAAATACTACAACCATAGCCTATCGGCTACGAACTACATGCTACGCGTTACCGTGCGTAGCATGTAGTTCGTAGTCCACAGTGCGTAGTAGGATATTTTTTTCGCTATTAATTCCGAAGGCGTGCAAACCGTGGACTCAACTGGTGAATCGGCCGCAGGGCCGATTCACCAGGCAAGAGTTTCGCCGCAAGCGAGATTAATAGCTGGAAATTATTGCTACGCGCTACAAACCTCCGCTACGGCTACGGCCACAGCCGTAGCTTGTAGCGCGTAGCGCGCCGTCGGTGGTAGCGGGAAAATATTACAGTAGATGTCGGTTAATTACCGTTTATCCGTGAAAGTTATCCATTCAAACAGTGTATAGTCTCTTGATAGGCTAAATACACGTTTACTTGTACAAATGAGCTATATGAATGTGAGTATAATATGAACGCGAATAATGAGAATGCACGTACAATTAAGTAAATGTACAGTACAAATAAAAATGCTGACTTAATATGCGTACGGTTGCACAGACAGACTTCATTTTTATTGCAGTAAGAAGTAGAGACATGCAGGTCTATATTGCTAGCTTGCATACCGCATGAGTTAAGTAGATAAATTTACACGTTTGTAATGCATATAACACTGCAATTATGTTTCGTTTAACGATATAATCGAACAACAAGTTAAGAAGGTTCAAAAATATGATAAAGCGCTTCGAGAAAAGGTAGTAGTGGCCTTACTCTTTGCTTATGGCTCAGTGTTGGTACTGTCTCTTGGCGTGGGCCACCACGACATTAAAAAAACGTCTTATTCAAATAGAAATGTAACCTGTAATGGGCTTCGAGAAGTTCGCGACCAAAAACTTTATCCCCACCAAGGCCGCAGTAATATTGTCCTGAATTTCGAGGAAAACCGCATTTGGGCCAGCCTACTGGTCGTGAGTCAATAGGGTTCAATAAGTAAAACTCCTGCTCCAAACCGAACCAGGGCTCATGCTCCTTGCATTTATTGTAAGTGGCCGCGCACTTGTGTCGATGGTTAGTTCCTGGGATAAAGCAAGTTAATTTTAACAAAGGTCTTATGCAAAATTACTTTGTGCACAGGACTTATACTATTGGGTGCTTACATGAATAAAAAACAGGTTTCCGCTGCATAAAAATTTGTACGGGTTAGTACCGACCGGCGGAAGTATAATATTTTCGAGAAACAGCT